CACAGCAACATGAACCCCTACTTCAAGTTCTGACCATAGAAGACACTGGAATTGAATGAAGGATAGTATGGCTGAAGCAGGGAAGAGACACTTAGGACAAAACAGCTCTTCAAAGACGTCTCTAGTAAGAATGAACACTGAAACATTGGCTAAGGCGAGGCAAACTCACATGGTTATTGCCAATACTATTCTTTTGTGTAAACAGTTCAGTACCGGGGTTGGAGGTGTGGCTCAGTGGTAGGGCCCTCGTCTACCAAGTGTGTGGCACTGGGTTTGACCTCCAGAGATATAAAAAATCCAGAGAAAACGGTCAATGATTCCGAACTCAAAATTTAGAGACAAAGAACTCAGTGTTCCTAATACTGTTGCAGTAGCGGTTGCTTTGGGACCACCAGAGGGCAGCACAACCCATGCTTGGCATTGGTCACATGGTCTCTATGTGACCTCTGCAGACCCTGTGACCAGGCCTGTGGTTTCTGAGGATGAATGAGAGGAGATGCAGAGACAGAGGCTCCTCCACTTGCTTGTGTCTCACAGCACAACAGTGACACCTCCTCCAACCTCTCTCCAAACCGTCAGCTACTCTGTGGCACCATTGAAGACATAGGCTCAAAGGAGAACACAATGCTTTACAAATACCTCTCATCTCTTCTTCAAAGTCATTGGAATTAGATATACGGGGAATACCCATGTTTTTCTAGTAAATTTAATATTTTAATTGCTACACGTGTTTTTAGGATATAGATGAGTTCCCAATCTATTTTCGTACATCTCCCAGTGTATCTTTCAAAAGTGAACATTACTTTTAAGTTGATATAAAGGAGTTCTGGGTTTGACTAAAACTGAATTGGCGTTGAGATGATCATGCATTTCTGAGCACATATTAGAAGGTTCTGAGCATTAGGTGCAAAGACATTGAGTCTTGGAGCCCTTGATTAATCAGTCTAGAGGATGTCCCAGTAGGGAATACCCCCATGGAATTCTTGCTGTTCAAATTCACAACTATGATGTATTAGACCCTGGTGGGACAACCTCCAAAGGCCTTGTCCTCATGCAGTGGAGTGCTTCATTCAACAAGTCTACCCAGTAGAAGTTTCCAGAATACTCACCCCCATATTTTCCCATATTTTTTACAGCAGTCTATATCAAATTTCCACAAACCCTGGAAAAAGAAATAGAGTTCAATCCATTATTGGCCTGCATATAGTGGATCCCTTCTCTAACTGGGGTGCAAATGACTCAAATTCGGTGAAATCAGGCTTCCTATCCCTCACCAGGGATTAGAGGCAAGTTCTTATTAGAGACACTTTAAGGGGCAGGGGAGACTAGAAGAATTGTCTGGAATGGAGCGTTTAAGGCTGGTCTTGAATTTTCTCAGTGTTATATCTATTGAAAGAACTGTCCTTACTTATGAATACCAAGCAGTTTCTTGTCTGAGGTGTGTGTGTGCATGCATGTGTGCATGTGTGTGTGTGTGTTGTCTTTGAAATCCTAGATCACTCTGAAATGTTCCTCAAGAATCCAAACTAAGGGAATATGTACAAACCTCCCGGGGTGTACGCTCTTGTATATCCTGGTTCAGTATTATCCCGTTGTTCTATTAGTACAAAAGTGACAGAGTAAAGCCAGACTTGGTGGCACACAACTATAATCCTAGCACTCAGGAAGAAGCAAGAAGATGGAAAAGTTGAGGCCAGGGTGGATGTCATCTCAACATCTAAACCAGGGGAAACAAAAGAGCGATAACTGGCCAAGGTGCAGAGAATAGGACATTTCAGAAACTGCACTAAATGGGACATCGCCTCTGTATAATGATCTCCTTCCCTTGGCACAGGGGTAGAAAGATTGCATGAGCCAGAGACAGAAAACACTACAACAAAAACTGTTTTCAAGGACACAACAGGGCATTTGCACATATGAACTCACAGTGACTGTGAAAGTGTACACAGGACCTGAGCAAGAACAAACCAGACAAACCCTAGCACGGAGAGGAGAGGAGGACATGAAGTACCCCCCCTATCTGAGCAGCTTTTGGCAATTGGCCAGGGCTGGGAGAGGAAGAGTTGGTTTTCCTTAAGGGTGTGGCTCATGACAGATCAACCACGATCCAGTGTGTGGTTATATACACAACTGAGAGTGTGTAGACAGCACAAATCAGACTCCATGGGTTACAGAAAAATACACAAAGTGGGTAGGTAGGGAAGGACTGGGGATGTGGGGGGAGCTTGGGGTGGGCAGTGAATACAATCAAAACGCATTGCATGAAATTCTCAGAGAACTAATGCAAATTGAGAAAACATAAAAAGGATCATCAAAAAATTAAGAAG